AAAAAAAAAAAAAAAAAAAACCTCTTTTCCCCATTGAGTATCCTTCTCATAGTTGCAATTTGCTAGAGGTTTACACTCTTCCTCCAATTTTTGAACTGTTTTATCCTTTGTGTTAGATTTCACATTGTGCAATTCCAATATGTGATCCTTGGAATAATTATTTCCACAGAGACTTTCTCTCCTATGGAAACATCCAGTGCCACAGTATAGAGTTCCACCAAAACCATCTATACCAGCAAGCTCGATCTTCATAAACGGAAATTTTAGAGACTTCACAATCTAAAACCAATAATCAGAACCAGAATTTCTTAGCATGATTTTAAAACGTACCTTATTTACTGCAAATGCTACATTGGAATAAATATCATTCTTGGTTATATTATCATAGCGTTGCGGATATTGCACATAGGATGTCTGATGTCCTTTCTCTTCATCCATGAAGAAGCACAGTGCATCTCTTATTGTATCCGGATCATTAGCATACATATCACAATCCAAATTAAGGATGATTGGTGCATTAGTGATCTTTGACGACACTCGTATCTAGGCCAAGAATAAAACAAATGACCTCAAATTTGTGCACTACAAAAACCAAAAAAAAAACACCTAAAAGTTGATTACCAATGCATTCATGGATCCAGCCTTGAAGTTGTGTGCCCATCCCGGTCTTTTTTCTCTGGATAAGTATACCAGTGTTGGCAATTTGTTCCCTTCGACATCAACTGCATTAGGGTTCCATCCATCTATTATAATCTGAAAGCAGAACAATTAGTATAAATTCTCTATAACTAGACGAAAAAGAAAATTGAAGCCAGTTGTATTTTAAAAATTGTTGGATAGGTTTTTGCCAGTAGAGTAAATTTTATTTGTACTTGCTATAAGTAAAGACGAATACTTTATTTTTATTTTTATAAGATTGTCGTAATTTATTAAACTTCATCTTTGATTTTGGTAAGAAGGTTGAGCATCATTTTTGAATGTAGGATTCCCCTATTCATAAGGAGGATCCAAACCAAACTGGCCTTGATATGGTCGAGGGGCAGTTCGGGGATCATCATGGCTCCTGTCTTCTCGAGAATTATTACATCCTTAAATTTAATTTGTAATATTAACAACAAGAATTTAATTTTACTTGATTGTTGTACTTGGGACATTAATCCTAAACGTGTATAAGTTATCAACGAATAAGATAAAATCACTCATCAATATCTCGATAAATTGAGAATTAAAGTGAAATGAAAAGAACATATATATGCTATATGATATTATTAAACTATTTAATAGGCAAAAGCATGACATCAAAAGATTTTGTAATGGATAGTTAAATTTGAGCTTAGTTATTCGATATTGATTATGTTAAACAAAAAGTGAAATTTAAGGTCTTGGTGTATTGGAAAAGGGGCTTTTGATCATTTTACCTTGTTTCAAATATTCGACATGATATAAGTTGGTGTATAAGAACAATAAGTTAGAGGATATACCTATTGTTTATACATAGTTGTAGTGATTTGAATTAGACAAAGGGCCCGTTTGATTCTAATTGTTTTAGAATGAGAATGAAAAATATAGCCGTTATTTGGCTTTTCACAAGAGATAGAAATTCAAAATTGATAACTTGATGTGATGGATAATGATCATATTTTTCATTTTTATGGATGAAAAATGAGAAACAAATTGAGGCTAAAATGTAATCTCGTTCTTTTAGTAGAATAGAACGGAGTTCATAAATTATATCGATTGATTAAGAGTTGATCGAATTTAGATTAATACATTGGAGCTTAGTTTAATTGGTCTGATTAGGTTCCTTAGATGGCTTCAAAATAAATAATAAGAGTTATAATTTATTATTGGTTGTGGTGGTATTAATTAATTATTTGGATGGTGAAGTGTCACATATGCCAAACATATGTCATTCATACATGGGAAAAGTTTGATTTGGATTAGAACTAAAAAGAAAAGTCATGGTTATGAAATGTTCCCATATCCTAGTCATGTCTATATTATGAATAGGCACTTACGATACACTTATTTGAGCTTCTAAACTTTATAAATTATGACTATTTGAGCAAATATTTACGTAATTTAGAGTAAATATATAAATTATTGGAAAGTTCTCGACTTGGATGCAATTGGCATGAAGAGGGATGTTTTTGAGCCTAATTGGAGTTGATTCTGAGCAATTGAAGTACACCAAATTGTACACGATCAATTAGAAGTATTAATAGAGAAATTGGAAGAAAATCACAAGTTTTGAGAATTAAATTCGACATTTGAAAAGTTTATAGACTTGATTATAAACTTTTAGAACTTGTGATTTCTATCTACATTCGGGAGAAAGAAATACGAATTTAGCACGTGGTAACATTCATTATAAAGTCCAATACGGAATAGAGTATCACTATGCTTTTCACGTTGTTGAAGAACATCGAAGACGATCTAAAAGTGGAATCAAGAAGATTAATGCAAAAAGTATATATGTAAAGCACTCTACAATAATAGTTCCTAAATCATTATATTCTTGTCAATACCTGAACAATGGATTGATGATCCTTCTTTGTGACCTTAGAGTTCCACTCTAAGAATCCTTTGTGTTGATCCTTTATGTCATTCGAAATGCAACCCTTCTCCACCGCCAAATCTATTCTTCTCTTCATATCTTCATATAATGTCTGAAAATTTTCTTTCAATGTCATTTTTCTTTAACCAGCGATTTCAAAGTAATGTTAATAATCATAACTAGAAATTCACCTTGATATTACAAAATTCGTGCGCGAACTCTGGATGGTTTATATCAATATTTCGAGCAAAATAGGCTTGAGGAGACCTCGGTTCCACATTAAATTTCTTGCAGAAAGGTATCCAACATTTCGAAAACTTAGAGGCCTCCAATAGAGCATAGAATGTGAGTTCTGAACCACCGTCATCTGAGAGGTAAACACTCAGCTTTTCGGGTGGATAATTGTACGACATGACTGATAAAACTGTGCTGATTACCAATGATGGTGGCTCTAAAATTGGATCAGCCGTGCAAACGAAGATGTCGACCCTTGGCAACTTGTCCTCGTATCTGTAACATGTTCCAGTCAAAAACTAGATCTGTTCTAACGTTCGTTGTA